ACGGTACGGTACGTAGACGTACACCGTAACGTAACGTACTACGTTCGTTACGTTACGTTCGTACGTACGTAGGTCGTGTACGTACGTTCGTTACTATATATATATATATATATATATATATATATATAGCTATAGTATTGTATATATACTGTATTAGTACTTATTAGATGTTTGATGTTTTATATTCATATTACTTAGATAACATATTCTATAACATTTTCTAGAATGAATCTATATAGTATAGAATATGAAGTATCCTATTCAATTCAACAACAATGTAATAAATTGAAGGGAGATATGACTCAAAGAAGAATTATTAGAAATCGGAAAGAAAATCAGAAATTTGGATTCGATCACATTGTATCCAATATGAAATATGTAACTCTTAAATATGAAGAAATAGAAGCTGCCATAGTAATTTTCCATAGAAAAGAAGGAAATGGTGGGAGAACCATTCCTTCCAACTCTTTGTTAATTTTTTGGGACCAATCTTGGTTTTCAATTTTTATGCTGGTAGTGTGGCCGACTGTCATGGCTGCAGTGCACGAGTCAACCTGTCTGATCCTAAGAATGGGTCAGTGGTGAATCAATAATTTGAAATTGCTTGTGAGCTATTTTTTTACTATTGATTACTTGTAAATTCAATTTCAATTGCAAACTACATTTGTTGTTGTTTTTCTGTTATAACACTTGCAATTTGCCATCAACCATTATAGCCATTTGGCAAGTTGTAAACATGAAATGTAATTATTAATTTTATGTGGCTGTAAATGGCTGTACATACAAGCTTCCTTTACAGACATTGTAGAGTTGCTATAGGGTATTTTTGTTGCCTTGATCAATATGAGGTTATGTTTCTGGATTTACTTCATAAAGAATCGTGGAATTGATTCGTTCTATATCATATAATTACATGATTATTTTATTCACTTCTTAATTCTACCATGAATGTCCAAATTGTTGTTTTACCAGGCAACTGATGAGGGGCAAAAGGCAAGCACTTCACGGGAGGATGAACCAGAGGTATGACATCTGAAATATAATATATGAGACTTGAATTGCAAAATTTTCTTTCTAAGAAGTATTGTTTATGAAATGAGAAAATATTCAAAATTTGTGATGGTTGTTTTTGCTTCCATGTGGTTTGGTAAACTATCTTTTTGGTATTTACTAGTGAATGAAATTCGTCCGTTTGGGAGCCTAGGTAGGTGGCCTAGGCAGTCGAGGGGGCTATCCGAACCGAATAGAGCCTATGTATAAGCCTTATTTGGTTTGGTATTATGGTGCCGGCACTGCCTAGGTGGCCCTAGGCCTTCAAGTTTTGATGTGTGACATCTCTCTCTTCCCCGCCTCCTCTCTCCCCTATATACACACACACACACACACATACACACATGGACCCATATTCTCTCTCTACATAAAGAAAAAGAAGAGGATGACCTCCTAGAGTTTGATGCAAGGCCCCTCTCTCGCTCTTTCACATAGCTATATGCTCTCTCTGCACATACGAAGAAGAAACAGAAGAAGATGAGCTCTTAAGTGTTCTATGCGAGGCCTCTCTCTCTCTCTCTCTTTCATACATACATATGGACCCATATGTTCACTTTCTCTCTCACATATATGAAGAGAAGAAGACGGCCTCCAAGTGTTGGTGCTTGTCCCCTCGCTTAGAAATCCATATCTCTCTCTAGATATAAGAAGAAAAAGACACGAACGACCTCTGAGTGTTTGTTGTGAGGCCTCTCCCTCTCTCTCTCCGGGTGTTCAATGCGAGGCCTCTCTCTTTCTCACATGCATATACACACATGGACGTATATTCTTTACACAAAAAAAGAAGATGATCGCTTCGAAGTGTTCGATAAGAGGCCTCTCTCTCTCTCATGTACCGATATGGTCCCCTCTCTTTCTCTATATGTAAGAGGAAGAAAAAGAAGAAGACATCCCCAGAGTGTTCGATGCAAGGCCTTGCACATACACACAAAGAGGCCCAAGTATCTGGGCATCCACCTAGGCTGCCAAATCCACCTTTTGTGACAATAGTTATTTTTTCCATATTATCATTCCAATATGAAGGCACTATACCTTTTGATGAATGCTGATGATCGCTATCATGCTTTTTATCAGTGTGAATAAGAACTCTCGAGTGATGTTTGATTGGATCTGACAATTTTGAATGATCTAGTGATTAAGTTACACAGACAGATTTCTTTTATTGAATTGTCATTCTAATTTTTTTCTTAAAGTTCTATTTTTCCTTTCCAATAACAATAGATCTCTAAGGTTTTACTCGAGCTGCTGAGCAGCTTAATTTTCCCCTTCTCCAGCGACAACCGTAGCCGGCTCGAGAGTGAATTTTACGAGTTTAGTCATATCAATCAATAGAACAAAAAAAAAAAGCTGTGGTCCACATATTGAGTTTTTTTAGCAAGCTGCTTTTCTGGACCTGCACCATGAGTAGTAGTTTTTCTGAATCTGCATGTTGGGGAAAACTCTCTGAATGTTATCACAGGGTGAAGAGGGGAGTCACTTGTCATATGGAACTGCTTGTTGCTCATCCCATCTTCGATTTACGTTTTCCTTTATACCATATACCACTCAATCATTGGTTTACTTGTCTATTTCCACTTCTTACAACCCTTAATGATTATTCAATGTGCAAATTACTCTGTCAATGGTTGCGGATATAGTCTTCCTTTACAATGTTGAATTGGTACATAACTTTGTGACTATTAGAACTAATTATGGTAGTATACTACTTGCTTCTCATGTTGAAATTGCAACCTTGGTTTGCTTGATTCAAATGGTAGTATACTTTATGATGTTCTTTATTACATTAATTAGCTATGACCTTGTTACTTGGGGCTATGGGATTGGGAAGTTCTAGTCGTGATCTTAAGTTTTTTGTGGGATGAATTTAGACCTTCAATCATTGATGGCCCACGGAGAAATACAATTAGATGATGACGGAGTGTTATGGTTTGTTGGATCATGGATATGTAAAACGTGTGCTGGTAAGGTGATATAGAAAGAATGAGGAAGAAAGACAATAAGAACAAGAGAAAGAAATAGGCATTGAGAGAATATACTCTCTCACCGAGTCTGTGGGGGAGTCCACCTTATGGGTTGAGATTTATTGCCCTCTCTCTATGCTTGCAATGCAATTAATCCCAAGAAAATGTTTTTGCGAGAACCAAAAACTCAATTCAACTTCTCTGTATTTCCAAAACGCATTACATATATTTAAAACAACAAACCTGATAGCCGAGTTGATTCTTTAAGAATCTTAAAATCTTTAAATTTGAGCTCTCATCTTGCCATCACAAAAATACCCCTAAAATCTTTACAAACAAAAGATACAAATACCCCAAAATCTACAAAGAAAAAGACCAGATTGACCCTAATTTGAAAATTCTAGAAACCGAACAATAAATCCTACCACGTCGTAAGGTTTTGCTGCCTTCCGAAGATTTAGGCTGAGGCTTTGTTGGTTGGGATTTAGGGTGATGACATTGTAACTACTAGTTCAAATCCTACCACTAAACTATGCAAAAATAAAGAGGCTTTGTTGCTTCCTAGATTTTTTGATCTACATTATGGAGGAGATTTCAGAAGTGTTCTATATTGATGTTCCCAATCACCATGTTCAAATGAATGGCAATACGAAGGATAACTTCTTGGTGAAAATTCAGGTGTCTAGGTTTAGATTCTGGGACTCCGTCTCTGTAATCCTTGGTAAATTGCTTAAGTAAGTTGTCTTAATTAGTAAGATGTTATGTTCCATTGTTATGTTTCAAGTAAATTACCTTATTTGTATTTAAAAAGTTGTTGTATTCATGTTATTCTTTGTACATGAATAGAGGTTGTATAGTAGGTCGTTTATATAGATAAGTAATGTTAAATTGATTTGCGTCTATTATCTACTTCAATATTACTGGTTATGGTACCAAAGACCGTAATACATTAGTAGTGGCAAACTCAAAAAGAAGTTTAGGAAGTGTGATGGTGACAGCAAAGAGACAATTAGTTTTTTCCTTCCTTTGATTGTAATGGTATGTGAGTCTAGGCATATGTGAGATTTATATTGATTTCTCTTTAATCAATCAGCAAACACAGTCTATTTATTTAGGTATTTGATTAATTTTTATGGAAAATTATGGAATTATGACCACCTTATAGTTTTTCTTGCCAATCTTTGTGGTAAGCTATGTAATTTTTACCTTGGTTGATATGGGTAGCCTTTTTACATTGTATGGAGTTCCTCTCCGTGATACCCATCTATCAGACATTCTTCGTTAGGAGGAGGCAAGCTCAAGAAATCAAATTCCACTAATTTAATTGTAAACTTGCAGAAAAATTTCATGATTAGGATTTGATTTTTACCAAACAGGTTGGAAAGTTTGGATTGATCTACCGTGATGACTTATATTTTGGTTTCTGTGTATTGATTAATTGATGAAAACTTTATCTTTCGGCACCATTTAGCTCGGGTGCTCTTATATGAATGATTATTGTTCATGGAATGTGAGTTATATTCTAATTTATAATCGCCCCCTCCCCCCACCCCCCTGGTTTTTTTTTTCTTATTGAACTGGAAATTGTTCTTGTTTGGTGTTTACTGCAAGTGATATGGGGCTCTATAAGCATTGCACCATGCTGTCTTGATTGAGGAAATCTGTAACTTCTGTTTTTTGCGTGACTTTTCTCCTTTTCTGAATTTGTTGGGGTTGTAATCTGCTTTTGTGGCTTTTTTTTTTCTTCCAATTTTATAAATGTTGTATGATGCAAACGTGTATAACCATATTCTAACATTTTCTAGTGAAAGCCCTTTTCATGAGTTACACTCTTTTTGTGCTGGTGACTCCTGTGTCCCCTTTGTTGCAATAGTGGGATTGGTGTGATTCAATTTATTTTAAATAGTACAGTGAATCATATAATATGAGCATCATTTTGTCTTTGACCTATATTTTGGAATTTCGTTCAGCCTTGGATTACTCTTGAGTATCATGGCATGGAAAGCCCTACTAGAGATTATTTCTGGCAGAAAATGGTGACAGAAGAAAATTCTCAACAACAATTGTTTATGAGTGTGTAAGGCCTGGCTTCATTTACATAGTAAATTTCAATATTTAGTTTGTATTATACATTATTTTTAGATCTTCTGATATACTTCATTATCGTGTGTAGGAATCATTATATAACCTCTTGGATTCCAGGAAGAGATAGTGCTCCCCTTGAAAGAGCTTGTATTAACCATGGCAGAGGGGCCAGTGATTCAAGGTTCTATCTGTCAAATGCATCTTAATATTTTTCAAATATTTCATGAAAACGAATTTGCAGTTTAAGTTTTTATTGCAGATGGTGATGGAAAATTTTGTCTAGTACTGGTATGTTGTGTATTGTACTCCAAACTGCTAATTTTGCTCTTTATGCCTGAGGCATTCACCTCTAGTCACAGCTTGGATAAAGTTACTATAGGAGAAGTCTAAGGACCAGACTTGAGATCCTTCCTGCGGCTTGACTCTCCTAAAACATAAAATCCTTGCTTTAGGTTTTAAGGTTCTTTCTACGTGCCGTTTTTTTGTTTATTATTATTTTTCAATTCTTTTGTTTCCTTTACTTTTTTGCTTTTCCCTGATGATGTCATAATTTGTTTGTGTTTAGTACTTTAAATATTCCCTTCATATTTACATGATCTATGTATAGATGTACCAATTCTGCTTGTTTGCATACATATTAGAGATTTTGTTAGTTTGTAAGTGAGAGTGACCATGGTATCTGTCTCTGTAAACTCTGTTATCGTTTATGAAGCTTTTGTGTTTCACATTGATACCATTCTTGATTTTCTTAAAAAAGAGGTCGCTGTGCCATGTCTTCAATGAAATTCCTGGATTGGATGAAATTTTCTGGATCATTATGTTTTTTTCCAAACTTGAAAGAAACCATTAGAAAGGTCTTTGGAGTTTTCTACATTCTTGCAAAGGGATTTTGCCTTTTACATTACAGACACAATATAATTATGTTGGTGGAAAGTGGATCGAGGAATGGTTGAGATTTTAAAGGGAAAAGTTTAACATGAAGCTACAGTTAACAGTATCCAAAAAAAAAACTTTAACATGAAGCTACAGTTAACAGTATCCAAAAAAAAAACTTTAACATGAAGCTTTTCTCTAAAAACAACGAAGAAAGAGAGGAAAGAGAAAACTATGAGATATATATTATTTATGAAGTTCTTCATACTGTTCTCTTTACTTTTTGAGTCTACCTGATTATCATGTAATCTGACAAATTTTGCATTAGTTTGATACTGTTTAACATAGGTTTTCCCTTGTATGCTGCTACAGTCTCTCTGATGCATTGTCCCTCGAAGAACATATCAAACTGTTGCTTTCTAAGGTCAGTATGCATATTTGGATGGAAAGAACAATGGTTTCTATAATGTTGTAGATTTGGTTATGAACAGTTTAAATCTAGGTAACTGATAATTGTTCTATACCCAAATGTCACCAGTGGTTCATTGTTAGTATTATTAATTGTCTTTGCTGTCGAGAATCATTAGTATGTCACTGTAAAATTGCTCATCTTCCAAACATCCCGACCTGCTTCTTTCTCTGCTTCTGTTTTCTTGGTTCTAACCAGGAATTTTTTTTTTTAATTTTCTTCTGTAATTTAATTCATTAAGGCAACCAACGGGATATCAAGGTAAATAGCAGACAAAAATAGCTGAAGGCAACAGATGAATTTTAAAGTATCCAGGAAACTAGTCTGATAATTTAGTTTGATGCTCATCTATATTCTCGTGCAAGGCAGCTAGAGAGCAGCATGAATCAGCTGTTTTCTATCACTGTGACGACTTATGGTGCTTAGATTCTTTTAGAGCATTGATTGTTCTGCCCTCTTCCATTTGGAAAATATAACCTTTGTTATTAAAAAGAAAGAAAATATTAATACCCTTTGTTTCCTTCTGTCAGGGACAAAACGAAATCCTTCCGTTTGAAATTCTCATGCGGCATGCTCCTGTGGGTTTAACTGAGCAAGAAGTCCTTAAGGTGCTCCAAAAGCATGCCCACTTAGTGCAGGGGTATTGGGTCCCCAAAAGCCCATTGAGATATGAAGCTGAATATTGTAAGGTTCGGGACTACATTCTCCTCTTGTTCCACAAAGAACGAGTGATACAACATGATGAAGTGAAGGGGTTACTAAGCTGGAAGACTGAGATTTTTGAAAAGGTTATGAATCCATTGGGATCTCGGAATCGTGAGCTTAAGCGTTGGGAATTCAAACTTCCCACCCAGAAATCCTTTTTACAAAGCCATGAGAATGTGGTGGAAGATCAATCTCGGCTTTGGTTGAGTCTGGAAAAGCATCTAATGGATTCATTACCGTGGCTTAAAAATAAGGCTTCAAATTCCCGGGTTTCATCTAAAATAAATACAAAGGGTTCTTCTAGTGTGGCCCCACTCTCTGGTCGTGGTGATCAGCCTGCAAAAAGTGTTGCAGATGGGGCTCAAATCTCTGAGAGATCAATAATGTCAGAAGAAGTTAGAGAGGCAATTTCAGATGCGCTTCGAGATGTGTTCAAGAAGTACCATGTTTGCAGGTACTTAATGCTTTTTGTCATTGTTCTCATATTGAATTTGGGAAAGTATACTATATCCAATTGGATTATGAAACAGTAAGATCCCTTGGGTTCATTGCCATCTGTTGAAATGGGTGGTGATGGAGAGATTTGGACCCACCATTCGTGACATGCCTGTTTTGGCTGGTCCTACCTTCTGTTTTCATTAGTGTTTGAAAAATTGAACCGGAACGATTAACAGACATGGGGCTGGAAGCAGTTCAACTGACCTTAATCGGGCAAGTCCCGGGTGGTCAAAAAAGTGTTAAAAAAATAAAAAGATACAAAAAAATATATATGAAACGTATATTTAAAGCATGATTGAATAAAGAGCATCCAAATAAAGTTGAAAATTAATAAAAAAAAAATGGATTTTAAAGAAGTTGATTTGTGCCTAAGGGTATTTTTGAATTTTTTTTTAAGAAGTTTAGAAATTGTAAAAATAAGTATTAATGACCAAAAGAATTTCCAATCTTTTTCAAAATGATTAAAAACATTAAAAAAATGCATTACAAATAAAATCCCTTTTTTTTTAGGATTTTATATAATGTTTTTGAATTTCTTTTAAAATACCCAGCCAGTTTTGGAACCGATCTAACTGGATGGTTAGAATTTGAACTGCCCGGCTTTTCATACACTGGTTTCCATCACTATCCATATCAATGGAAGGTGATGATCCCCCAGGCACTATGGTTTACTGGATTATCCTCTGAAAATTGGCGTGAAGGCGTGGTTCTTAGAATCTATATAATCGTATAACAGTCTTCATCAAAGTGTACTATTATCCAAGGAACTACGGAAAATGATACTCCATTGGGTTCATCTTATCCTCATCCAATGAAATGATTGGTAGTGCAGAAAGAGACTTTAATTCACCAGAACAGGATGTTACCCCAACTGTGGGTTCCGCATCCTCTTCGACAAAGCCGATTGTTTAATCGAGGGGTGTTGATCCCAATTGATTATGATTTTCCTGAGTCCACAGGACTATGCTATGCTTTCATGTTATTCGAGTTCCATCTTTGATTTGATATAAATTCATCTCTCTTCTGCATTGCTTTAGACTGCATAAATGCTGTGAGCTGTTCATCTTCATATATTTTCTCCTTGATTTGGTTGATATTTATCTCATTCTAAGTGTTTATTGATTTCTTTAAAATATTTATCTCATTCTAAGTGTTTATTGATTTCTTTAAAATTTTGTACCTGTAATGGCTTCATCTGATCAAATTTTTTGGTTCCTTTCCTACTGAATGCACATAGCTTTTTACTTCCACTCCCTTTTTTCTCTTAATTTCTGTAAAGAAGAAATCAATGTGAAAGTTTCTCTCTCTCTCTCTC